AATAAGGTTTATTTGCTCCCTGTTGGGATTAATCCATACATGTATTCTCCACATGGAACTCATCAGGTCTTTGCTTCCTCTTCATTAGTCTCCCTGGAACTAGAGGGTAGCCTGAATAACATGAAAATTAGGATAATATATTTTCAGAGAGAAAAGGTCTGGCGATCTCTAATTTGTGTTTCAGGGCCATAATGCTGTGGAAAATTTCCCAAATGATGTTGTCTGAGAAACCAATACTTGTTATGCTTGCCGTATTTGAAGTTTGAATGTGGCAATTACATCGTTTTCTTAAAGCCTCCAAAGCTAATTGTGGTGTTAAACTAGGTAGATTGACTCCCAGGCTTCCTTCTATCCACAGTAGAACTTAAAATTCCTTTCTCCTGACAGATCTTTTGGTCTTCTAGCCCAAGGGCTCTGAAATGTCACAATATGGCCCATTTCTTATTAAAGAGATCATTTTACTGTAGCCCATCCAAATCCTCCCTCCCTCCCTCTTGTTCTGAACCCCAGCTCTTATTAGGGGGACAACCACAGAAATATACTTTCTCATCCCCTGAGACCTTTGTATTTTTTTTTTCATCGTATTCAATGCAAGAAGTTATTTTAATCCAGGCTCCAACCAAAAATGACCCAGATTTTTTTTTTGTCATTTCTGTTTTAAAGCCTCTAACAATTACATCAACCATTTAAAGCCACTCTGTGCCCAAAGCTAGAGTGAAGGAGCTTTTCTGTCACCAAAAAATGCTTCAGTCCTCAATCTGGTGCAAAATTGTTTTTATTACATGTTTTAAAAGTGGTAGCTACAGCATTTGTTAGTACGCCCTTAGAAAGCATTTTTTGTCTGGACAGTTTTGCAGCATATGCAGCTGCAATTTTTATCACTTCAAACCTGCAGTCTCCTTAAAAAGTACTGTTTGTTAGGATTTAAGGGTACTTTAAGAAAGCTAATTAGTAAGCATTGAGAGTGTTCTAAAGGCCTCTAGAAGTTTTTGCTGGTTCTGCTGTTCAGCTTAGTCTCTGGTCCCGCATTTGCCCCAGGTCCATAAGCTGCATGATTGTTTATTTTCACCTCCCAGCTGTCATTCGGTGCTACAGCTGTCACAAAACACAACTTACAAAGTGGCATCTGTGTAAAGGATGCTGCTGTAGTTTAAAGCTCTTCGGTACATTTTAAGCTGATTTTATGATGCGAGTCATTGCTCCCAGTGATGGGTCTCAAAAGGCTATCTTCCTTCTGAGTTCTAATGTACAGTTTATTGCACTTTTCTATATGGTTCCAACACTTTGTTGTCGCTGCTGTTGTAAATCATTATTTATTACTCTAAGTGTCCTTGCTGTTTATTCAGTTCTTTGGAAAAATGTACTTGAAGAAAAAATTCTCGCTTGCTGACATTTATATATCACAGTTACAGATCTCGCAGTTTCCCGGTGAGTTAAATCTTTACAATCCTAGGAAGCCAAGTGCTGTACTTTGACACTAATTTAAGCTTCCCCGCTAAGCCCCATCAGTTCTTTGTGAGACGGGCAGTCTGTGTGGTTCACAAAGCCACGGGGCCCTCCTGCTTACAGTAAAGACCCAGTGGGATCTTTCAGGCTGCAGCCCTCCAGCCTTTCCACGAGCTGGGTTTAAAAGATTAATGTTGGGCTCTGGACTGCAACATAGATAGAGAAGTTATGGCATGTCTGTAAGCAACCTCGGATGCTCTTAATGCTGTGTTATTTTTTTGTAGAGTTGAGTATCCCAGCACTTGTTTGCTTTAGTGCATCTTCATTGAAAATTGTGTTTATGAGCATATATGTAGCAGAACTGCGAGGTGGCAGTTGAACGCAGGCCTTCTCCAATGTGCTCCTGCGTGCTCTTGAAGCAGTCTCCTCCGTTCAGTCAGACTCGTGGCCACAGTGGATCTGAGATACATGTATATGTGGTCGGCGGTTCCTAGAGAGGACTCCCTAGAAAATGAGAATTTTGAGAAATCAATTACACAAAGGAATGGAGTCAGGGCCAGATGGCAGGGATGCTTCATCCCAACCTGGGAGGTACTCACGGGATGGCTGCACGCTCGTTCCCACAGGGCTGGGTAATCAGATAAATCAATTAGCAGATGTCAGTGCAGTTAACAGAGCAAGCAACGCTAGCATAGGTGTGTTACTGTGATTATAGCAGAGGGGGCTGCTTTTCTTTTCCCCAATGGGTAACCAGCAACTGAATCTGCTTTTCTAGGCCTGGCAGGGTAGGAGGAGAGGACTCTGCTTTTCCTGAAAGTCTGATTTCTGGGTGTTGTCACCAGGTTCAGATGTCTGTCCTTGCTGACCTGGAGATGCTTAGGGAGAGGGGACCTTTGTGAACTAGGATGTGGACTAGGACTTTGTGCTGTGAGCAATTCCCATCTGTGTGGTGGTGGCTTTTTTTTTTTTTTTTTTTTTTTTTCTGAATGATCTTTGACAGATAATTCAGCCCTGTCTCCTGGGTGGACTTTGGACCATGCTGTAGGTGTGTCACCAGCCCTTTTGCTCCTGATGGGAGCCCCTAAATGGGCCCTGTGCCTGATCCATCCCTTTGCCACATGGGGGGCGATCCCAGCACCCCATTATCAGCACGTAGCTCTGCTCACCTGGCTCAAACCCTGCAGGACAGTGTGCTGCATGGGGTGGCCCTGTTCAGTCTTACTTGGAGCTTAAAAAGATGGACAACTCTCTCTGGGTTTTCTTTCTGCTTTGTTTCGTGATGTCCTGTACCAGGGCGGGGAGAGAAGCGCTAGGAGAGGCTTTCAGCTGTGAATTCTGCATTTGTGGTTTTCTTTTAACTTTGCTACGCTTAGGAGTTGTATTCTTGGACTGTGTTGATACTTGGATGTGCACCTGTTTTCTGAAAACACCTCTACCAGGAAGCCATTTATAATACAAAAGTGATTGGAGAAAATGAAGATAGACATATCAACTTGGGCAGAGCTATGAAAGGGGAGGGAAAACAGCAGAATTGCAGGAACTGAACCTTAGTGCAAACTGTAACCTGCTCGCGTTATAAGAACTCTGACCTGCGTTGTATATTTTATTTGACTGTGTTTCCTGGTGGGTTAATTTTTTAACAGCTTTCTAAGCACAGAGTCAGCTGGCTGAGAGTCACAACCACAGCAATGAAACCCGTGCTGTTCCTCGAGGCACATTTTCACTCCATGGGCTTTTTATTTGTTCATATAGTAGACTTCTGATGGACCCTGACAAATTTGGCTTCACAGCACCCAAGGTTTCTAGCTGTCCATTGAGAGGCCCAGCAAACCGGACCGATCTCAGGTGGCATTTCTGTTCCTCTCTCGTGTGTGTGACAAGGAGAAAAGAGGCACAGCGTATGTGGATTCATATCAGCAGTAGACCTAAGAACTGAAGCTAGCTCCTTTGTATTTCAGTCCGATGACGTGCTCTTGAGACTCCCTGCACAGGGAATTGAACTTGGTGATCCTTAGGGGTCCCTTCCACCCCAAGATATTCTATGATTCTGCTCTGTCACTCTAATTCTCACTAGAGGATGGCTTGTGCCCTCCAGAACTTGAAGACTGCAGTCTGCTTTTGTAGCTGATCGAGAACTGTGCCAGGGCCTTCTCGTGCCGTGTCTGGGGTGCAGCTGGAGTAGGAGGAAGCCCTGCCAAGGTACTCCATGCTGTGGGTTGCACAGAAAGGGTTGACACCAGCAGAACACCTCTGCCATCACAAAGCCAAGCCTGAGATACTAGAAAATGTTGAACGTTTAACAGTGTTAGTCTTGCCTAAGTTTTTATCCCTGGTTCTGCATCTAGCTGATCTTTTGCTTGTCTACCCTGCTTTCCAGTTGTGCCTGTGCTCCTGCCCCCCAGTCTCCCTTTTTCGGCTACTTTTTGAAATTCTTCTTTCTCTGACATTTGTCTGGAGGGTCATTCACAGCCCCACTGACTAGCTCCTGCCTTCAGGCTCTTTGCTGATGAATCCCATCTTTTGCCCTGCTCCACCTGCCCTTCCATGGCAGGCTCTCTGATCCTCTCTGCTTTCGCATGAGTGCATCTCTTTTGCCCTCTGCTTTTCAATCTGGCAGCCTGTTCTTACTTGGTGCCATTGAGAACACAGACTGTCTGCCACCAGCGCCCGGATCCAGCGATCCCAGAGCTGCAACAGAAAGGAAAAAAAAACCTGGAAATTTAGCTGCTAAAATCTAAGCTGTTTCTAGTCAGCAGAGCGAACTGTGTCTGTATGTGTGTTCCTTTGCACTCCTCTTCCTCCTTCAAAGCCTTACTGGTTTCCCAGTTTTTGAAGTGTTTTCACAGAGGCAGTTTCTGACTACACTGCTTCAAACTGTGGGAGTAGTGTTCTAAGTCAGACCATCACCAAACTGGTGGAAAAAAACCCACAAAGTATTTCTTTCGTGCTTCGTTTTTGAAAGCTGCTCCACTGTTTTGGCAGATGCTGAGCCAGATAACTGGGACAGAAATTGTGGGGTTTTTTCTGCATTGCCATTGGCAATGTCCTAAGCACCTGAAGGGCTTCCAGTGGAAAAGTTACGGCAGGCCAGACAGCCGGGTGAACGTAGGGAGAGCAGGCCATGGGTAGAAGCAGTCCAAGGAGATGCTGGCAGACCTCTGCTACGGGGGACTTGCCCCAAAATTACTGTAGTAACTGGAAAAGATTCGGCGCTCGTACCCTGCACATCACGTGCAAGTTGCTCTACAGTGTATCCGGGGCCTGCTACCGGCTACTCTCCTCAGCCCTGAGCTGTGGGTGCTCGTGGGTGCCCCCAGCAGCACCCAGGCAGCGCTGGTACCAGCAGCGCTTCCTGAGGGTGGGGGGCACAAGGTGGGCAGCCCGGGGAGACGGAGGGATGGTGTCCATGCAGGAGGTGGGAAGGAGGGGTTGGCAGGTTTGGAAGGGCGCCTGCGAGTTGGTCTGATTGTGGGAGACCCGGCTGTGATGAGCACAAGCCTCGTGGGTGTTTGATAAGCTGGTCGAAAGCCCCTGTCCCTTCTGTCTGTCACAGAGCTGGTGAGGCTGTGACCAGCTCCAGCGCTCCTCCTGCGAGCCTGTGGCTTTGTGCTAGGTGAGCTCCTGCTGCATGCTGCAGCATCGCCAAGAAAGCCTTTTTGTTCCAGCGGGCTCCTTCAAAGACCGTTTTTGCTCCACTGCCTCAAAACCAAACCGTGGTAGGATGCCGTGTTATGTGACAGGAGCGGGGCTAGCGTGAGAGGAGGTGAGAAAGCAACGTGCTCCCATGCCCCAGGGTGAAAGAGACGGCCCCCGTGGTCTGGTAAACGCACGCAGGCTCCAAGAGTTCAGAGCGCGCATGGCTCTGCCTTTCAATCCTGGCTAACAGTGTGCGACAGCCTGAGCCTCCCAGGTGCAAAGGGCTTCGGCACAGCCCGGCTAGTCACTTCCCTGCTTGGGGTTTCACAGCTCCATTGAAGAGCCTGTCCTTTCTCCCTGGCACCTCGGAGATGTTCGCCTTGCAGTTTGTCACCAAGACCCTGCAGTAATTTCACACACTCCTCTAATAGAGTCCTCCGAGGCTGTCATGTATTTTCATGTATTTCCCCTATTATTTCTCCCTGCTTGAGCCTTTCAGATAATTGATGATACTTTAGTTAATCATTTTCCCACTCCTTTGTTTGCCAGGTACCTCAGCCTTGAAGGGATCCTTTTCATTTAGAATCCGTGTCTTCTCTTAAGTAATTGATCACCGTGCACCCGGGGACACCCAATTCACAGCCGAGTGGGATCAGCCTTCATGAATAATCAAAATGCCGTGGCCACGCTGCTGGAGGAGTGCAAGCGAGCTCTGGACACGCTGCTGTTGGCGAAGGCTGACACGGGCGAGGAAGATGAGCGAGAATACCGGCGGTGTCAAGGTGAGGTCCCCAGGAGAGGCGGCAGGACCGCGGCAGCAGCCGCCAGTCCTCAGCCCTGCCCTATTTTTCTTCTCCTGGCAGATGAGTGTCAAGAGATGCCTGGATTTCGAGGCCATGAATGGGATGCAGGCTACAGGCAGGCAGGGAAAGAAGTCCACTTTGTTGCAGTGAATTGCTGTCAGTTCTAATTTTAGGCTTCAGTAAACATGAGGCTGTAAGGAACAGTTTAGTTTGGGAAGAACAATGCCCAAAAGTTTGCTGATGCACATAAATTTCAGTTATTAAAAAAAAAAAAAAAGAAAGAAAGAAAGAAAGGGAAAAAAAGGATGCAACATCTGAATAAGGGCACATATTTCCTCTCCTTTCATAGGAACTGGGGGAGGGCCTTTTCTGTTTGTCAGCTTCTCCTAATATATTAAAGAGCTCATTGCCTGAATCTTTATCTTGTAAAATGTGTGTGACCTCTATAAGTGGTGTCCAAAGGAAAAAAACTTGCAATATCCCTCTTGAAAGGAAAATCCATGCCAGCTAATGGCTGGAATAAATAACCGGGAAAGGAAGCAGTACTTAGCGAGAGCTGTAATAAAGGGCTTCTTCATTTGTTTTAATGCTGGCATTACCTGCTGGAAACCAGCATTTATTTTGGTATTGCTGTGGTGCTTTGAGAGTGGTTTGTAAAAAAAAAAAAAAAAAAAAAAAATTTATTATTTCTTAATTCCAGTGGAAATCCAGTTGATGTCAATCACAAAAGGCTGTAACACACAGTTCCATTTTCTCTAGATTCAGACTTTCAGAGGGCTACATAACTTCATTGCCACAGCTTTTATATAAAAGCCACATTTGAATTGCTGAACTTGTTCGAGTTATACCTTTTTTTTACAGGATAGGGAGGTTATATACTCCTTTCTGCCACACAGAAAAACAACTTCAGCCAGTATGGAAGATGTAAAAGTAAAGGATGAAGGTGAAATTTCTGGGGGGAAAAACAAGGGCATTAGCAAAGAAACACAAAAAACCTATTTATGTGCAGTTTTTCCTTTGCATGACACATCTGCAGTACCGTCCGTTTTCCAGTTTAGTGTTAATAATGTTTAGTTTTGCTCTGCATGAATGACTCGGCCATAATGTTAATTTGATCTTTAAAATCCTTTGTTTGTCCCGGAGCACAGAGCTGTTGAGAATATGTTTTTCTGACCATCCTTGTTCTTGCTGGGAGGTCAGCTGCCTTTTTTTCTGAAGCACCTAAGTCTGTTTGTGGTGGAGAGTGGCATGTAGGTTTCTGTTATGGATACTGGAAGATTTTTCTCTTCTTTTTTTGTTTTCAACAAAGGGTACTTTGTTTCCTCATCATGAATTCTTTTAAGTTTTATTATGGCTCCTTAGAATAGGCTCTTGAACTCCTAATCAGGTAGCGCTTTTCCCCCCCCTCATCCTCCTCCCTCCTTTTCTCCTATTAAATACCACAAAGTATGAGAAATAATCAGTTTAGTTCCAGATAAGGTAAATCAGTGCCCTTATAATCACTTGATTAGACATGGTTCTTCAGGTAAACTGCTTCAGGAAATGGGCGATCAGAGCCTGAAGTGATGCTCCAGTTTTTCCGAGGACTGTGTTCCCATCCGCTGAAAGAAAAATACCCAGCAGCGGGGCGGTGACAGCGACATTAATAACTGCTGGGTCCCTCTGCCCGGGGAAGGCAGGGCCTCGCAGCTTGGCGGCTCTTGGCTTTCGGGGGGACCCCCCCTCCAGCACAGAGGCGGAGGGGTTTGCTTTGCCCCCCTCTCCTCCCGGGGCTGCCTTTGTTTGCCCCGGCTTTCTCAGACCAGGCGCAGGAGGAACTGAAAACCAAATACATAAAAATGGGGGGAAGAGGGGAGAGGAGGAGTGAATCCTTACCTCGCTTTCGTTGAGGGGACAGAATGGGTTTTAGATGGGTCTGGATGCTTTTTTGTTTCTTTTTTTGGCTAGAAGTTGTTCCAATCAACTTCTGTGCCAGTTCAACCTTTGTCAATTAATGAATTTATACTGCCTGTGGTGAGAACAGCTATCTGTTACAAGAGTAAACTCTCACCCTGCGGGCTGGATTTTAGCTGAAAGCTGCAGGGCTGTTCACACGAGCTCCTGGCTGGTGTGGTTCTAGTGGATATTCTTGTGATACAACATCGTTTTATTGTCACTAGCATGCTAGTTGTGTTTATTTCTATGCGGTGTCAACTAGATGTCACAGCAAGGCTCGAAGCAGTATCCTGCTAGACTTAATACGAACGAATGTCCAACCCCAAAGATGCCTGAAGGCTCCTGGATTGCCAAATCCTTCTGGAAGTGTTACCCCGGTTTCCATTTCTGACCAGTTCGGCAGTAGTGACTGCTGAGGATGCCTCTCTAAACATCAAAATTCAGTATTAAAGATTGCGGCCATATTCTTTGTTCTTTAGTGCATCAAGTAGAGGGGGCTTAAGGTTTGGGTAAGGATAACGTGGAAAGCAGGAACAAGAGGACAGCAGTAATACATTTATGCTTTAGAGAGAATACCAATGTCCACGTTATCCCACTGATAATTTTCACAGTTACTGACACTATTATTTTTTCCTGTTTCAGTGTTACTTAAGTAAGCATGAGTTTCTGTGGGAAAGATAGAAGAAGGTAGTGGAGACAGAAAGTCTGTCTGTGTAAGCATCCTAATTCTCTTTCTCTAGATACCTCCCCAAAATGTCAGTCCTATGGGATCATACAGGGATACATGTGCTGGCTGTGACTGCCTTCAGACCCCCCCCATCTTCCTTTGGACAAGATTTTTGGGAAGCTCGGTCTTCCCCCTGCTACACGCGGGGATTGCTTTCCTTGTGATGAGATGGCTATCCCTGCTGCTGCGCCGATGTTGCAGTGAGAGGTGCGGGGCTGGGAGCACGACCTCCTCTTCCCTCTGGCTCTGCCGCTTGGCCGCCTTGGCACGGTGTGGAGGGCTGAGCCCCCCCAGCCACTGCTTCAGAAGGGCAGAGACACATGGCTGTGCCTGAAGCTGGGATGTGTAATGGGAAGAGTGTCCAGAGCTGCAGCAACAAGTGAGAAAACGCGGGTTGGAAAAAGTGGTATCTCTTTAAAAGCGACTTTTTGGAAAAGGGGCCTTAAATATCTGACTTCTCGCGTTTTCCTAGGAAAAACATAGCGGCGAATGCACTGTAATGTGAGCGTGAAATAGACTTGTTATGTAGTACATTTTCTACAGTCATCTGTAAAGGACTGATTAAAAAATATGTAGTCATACATTTATTGCACTGCCTCGTTAAAGCAATGAAGCAGGGTTTTTTTTCTGGGGATTAATGGCCAGAAGGGGCTAGATCTGCAGCTGATGATCACCATTAACCCCATCTGGTCAATAATCCTCGTTAATCCACTTTTATTAGCCAGAGAGTCTGCCCAGCCGAGTGGTTAGCACAGCACAGTGCACTCAGGCTGCAGCTTCACCCCTGTTTCAAGGAAAATTAAAATGTGGGCTTCTGCTGGAAGGAGGGGACAAATCTAAGCCCGGATCTCTAGCTCCTACAAGCAATTGCATCCTTAGTTGGGTCAAGTTGGAGATCCAGCTGAAGCCAGTGGTTAAGTGGGAGGTGAAGGGCCAGCCCAGGGAGGGAGCAGGGCATGGGCACGGGCCAAACTGCGCTCTTGCCTTGTGAGCTCTGGCACGTTTGCTGGAGGATCAGGAGCCAGATGGAGCTGGGAGTACTTTGCCTGCCTTCAAAAGAAAAATCTCTTTTGACTCCTTTGTGCCTGGCCTTTCCAGTTGGAAGGGAAGCTGTGCTTTGAGGAGGGTTTGGAAACCCTCAGGTGAAAGACGTGAGGACTGGGGTTCCCACGCAGCTCCGTGCTGGCTGTGCCTGGGTAGGAGCATGCCTGGGACCAAGGGCATCTTCTCCTCTTTACCTCTTTGTAACCACTGTTGCAATCTGCAAGAGAAATGCAGAAGCTCGGGCCAGATCCTCAGCTAGTGTGAATTACTTGGCTAAGCCGGCTTCAAAGAAGATGCAACAGCTTCAGACAGTGAATCTCACAACGAAGGGTCAGGATCTGCCACGCATCTGTGGGCAGTACCATCTTAACAGCAGTTCCCATGCACAGGGCTTAAGCCATTTTGTCTTGCTATAGCAGTGAGCTCTCTTGGGCTGAGGTAAATTGTGTCCTCTAGTCTATGGCTACTGCTTTGAGGGCATGTTGAGTAACTCAGGCCAACAACTTTTTTTTACTGAATCAGTCAAATAATTATTCTCAAGAATGTGTGCTTGTTATTCATTATATCCCTTTAGTTCTTTGATTGCTTTATATGGTCCAGATTTATCTCCCAGTTTGGATGTGGCTTTTCAAGCTGGCTCTGCCACTGTCACCAGCAAGCCCTGAGCAAGGCAGACAGGTCTTCTGTGCTGTTGGCCCCATTTGCTCTGCCAGGGGTCCTTTCCTCACACTGGAGAACAGGTTTCCTCCTCTCTCTCTTGGAGTAGCTCTTCACGCCCAGCCAGCCACCAGCCGGTGTGACTTCCTGCTAAAAGCCTTTTTAATGGCTGATGGCTCCCATTTACCTGGAGGGCAGAGCAACCAACAGTAATGGATGACAGGCAAGCTCAGCTCACCTTCCCTCCTGATGAGGTTGGCAGCAAGAGGTAAGAGCTGGTAGCGAGTGAGAGAAGGTCCGAGAGGGAGGGGAGGTATGCTTTTTTCAGGGTAGGTGCACTGTTGGAAGTGTTGTGACTGAACCCACTTGCAATATCTTTTACCTGCTCTTTGACCTTTTCAGATTTGCTTTCTGAGGACTTGAAAACCCTTCTGGAGGAGGCAAAGGAAATGAAGTGGCCCTTTGTGCCGGAGAAGTGGCAATACAAACAAGACCTTGGCCCAGAAGACAAAACAAACCTGCAAGATATGATCAGCCCGAGGCTCCCGGATTTGCTGGTATGAAGTTCAACACACCTGTTGCATAAAATGTCCCGCCGAGGCGCTTGAGGTTACGCGGAGCCCTGGTAGGTAGTATCACCTGTTGGTTCAGGGACTTGTGTTTCTGCACATTGGCAGCAGAAGGTGAGGAACTGCTTGAGAAGCAGAGGCGAGCGAGCCTGCGTTGGGATGGAGCTGCTCACAAAGGCCAAGGGGGAGAATGTGACTTTTATTTGTTTCAGTCCTCAGACAAGAGGAGGACCCAGAAGCTGCATAGAGTTCCTGATTTTTTTTCATGAAAGTTGCTATGAAGCAACATGCATGAATCACAATTTCCTCCTCCTTGCAAGACAGCTCATCTCCATGTCACCACTGCGCCTTCCAAGGGAAGGAGAGTCCTGCCCTCTGCTGCCACTGCAACCAAGCCAAGGTTGTGAGATCAGTGGGAGCTCAGCCTCGGGTTTAGGCTTCTGGTCTGTTGGCTATGTAGCTTGTGGCAAATGGGTGTGCAACACCACGCAAGGCTGTTGGTTTGAGGTCTTGCTGATACCTGCAGTTTTATGTGCTCTCCCAGTGCAGGGAAGGTAAAATGGGTTCAAGTGATAAAGTTTTGAGTGTGTCCAGGTGTTTGGCAAGGAAAAAGGTGCCTAGATATTAATGACAAAGAAATTGCAGAGTAGAGAACACTGGCTCTGCCTTATCTAGAAGGGATCCCAGAGGTATGTAGGGATTGTCCCACGCGCTGAGCATCTTGCAGAACAACTACCTCGTTCACTGAAACGTGCAGTGATGACTTTGACTGCATTTATGCTGTTGCTGCTTGCTTTCATGCTCAGCCCACAGTAGTTTGGGCACTTGCTTTGTCCATTCCTCTGGTTTTAGAGGGAAGTTCTGTTTCTGTTTCCACTAAGGTAATGTTTACCTCTTCCCTGAAGAACTGGCATTATAATAAAACTAAAATGCTGAATGTTTACATAAAGTTTTAAAAACCCCATGAATTTGAAAAGAATGCTGTGCCTTGTTTAATTCAGGACTGCTAGCAGGCAGTGAGGATTACTCACGTCAGTAGGGCTTGCACAATTCATGGTCTGCTTCTCTTTTTTCAAGAAAATTACTTGACAGGTTCCCTTTGAGGACCAAAGCTGGCCAAAACCTAGGCAGGAAAGGCAAAAATTTAATGTGACTTCTTCTGTGAGTAAAGGATATTTGGCTGTGTAAGGAGCTGCAGGATCCAAATGGTACCCGGGGATCCCATTCTGTAAGGTGGTGAGTTTGAGCTTAAAGATTAGAAAGCAGAAATTTGGATTGCTTTTTACTTCTTTGATTTTCTCAGAGGCATGTCAGATGTGACTTGTAGCAAATAGAGGATTCCCTTTTCAATGGTAAATGTGATATCTAGGCCAGTAAGTATCCCTTTGGCAGGACAGACATAAGGTAAAGATGAGGTTTGTAAGGTTTTTGGAGGTTTTTTGCTTACTGTGGTGCATGCCTGAAGCCAACACAGCCCCATTCCTCGTGGGAAGGGGCAGTCTGGCCTGAAAATCTGGGGTTTGGGGCAGGGAGGTCTGGCCCTGCTGGAATCCCAGCTGCAAAACTGCTGTTAACTCCAAGGTGGCCAGGAGATTTCACCTGCTTCAGAGAGAGCCCTGCCCGAGGAAGGCCAGCAAGTTTTGTTTGAGGATGACGATTCCTTTGAACGGCACTGAGCAATGAGAAGCTCAGAAAAGCCAACTGCAGGGCTGGGAGGCGTCAGCCCCAGCACCCCCTCGCCAGCATCCCACATTGCAGGGATCCTGAATCTGCTGGGGGGGCGCGGGCAGGGAGCGGCAGCTCCTTGGGTATTTATTTTCTTTTTCTCTTTGGTGTGTGTGGCCTTAGACAGAAATTTATGGCAGAGGTTGACCTCCTTTACAATCCCCGCGCAGCTCTCTAACTTTGGAGCATTTGTCTGCTCTCTCCCAGGATAAACACCTGCAGTAAACTCCCTGAGAGACCTGGCTAGATGGGAGATTAATGTGGCTGTAATAGTGGAGCAGTGTTTGCAGCATTATGCCCTCTCCCCAGGTAGATGGATCTTTTCTGAGATGATACCAATTATTTATTGCTGAAACATCTGTTGATAACTGCAGCTGCCCTTGTTAAACAAAGCCTATCATGGGGTCATAGACTATAGGGACCTAAAATCCTACCGCATGCTAGTTTTAGACTATTCACTGACACCCCCTGAAGTCCATTGGTTACTGTTGTCTTCAATGTTTCATCCTGCGGTTGAAAATACTTTGTAAACGTTGTGCTGCCTTTCCCCATGTGCTTTGAAGTATTATTTCATCTTCATTGGTAATTTATATTCCAGTGCCATTGTACCATGGGAAAAAGGGAAAACCTTTTTTGTTTTCCATTTAATTGTAGATAGACTGACATTTTGACCTGTATTATTAGTATTAGTCAGGAAAAGGGATTTTTTTTCCCCTTCATCCATTCCTTCCCCCCCTCCTTTTTTTTTTTTTTAAATAAAATTTCAAGGCAGAGCAAAGGCTGCTTCAGTTCTTTGAATAAAAAGCTGGGGGGGAAATGAGGCTGAAGAGAAGTGATTACAGTGTGATGAGGAAAGATAAAAGTCTGAGCAACTTTTTTCTTTTTCTTTTTCTTTTTTTTTTTTTTTTTTCCTGGCATGAGGGACAGAAGGATAATTTAATTCCCTGGAGGAAAAAAAAAAAAAAAAAGTCTTTGTCAATTTATTGTTCAGAAGAACCTTTAAAATTTTTCATCTCTGTTTATTTTAATTTGCCATGCTTAGAATAAGCTCATAAACCGTAATTCATTACATTTTAAAAGTGCTTTGAGATCCATGAGTGAAAGGCACTTCATTACCATAACACACTGGTGGTGTTACAAGGAGGCAGAGCTGGCTACCAGGGCTCACCATGAGGATGTTTTACTCTGTGAGTAGGCTGAAAAGCTCCATGAGACCAGCACAGTGAGTAAGCGGATTAGGCTTTGGCTTCAAGGGTTCGCCTTAGTCTTGCCCTTTAAAAAGTGGGATACTCACTGCTGGCGGCTGCACGCTAGTCCGACACATCAAGAAGGCAAAGCCACCCGCACCTGCAGCCTGTTAAAGTGCTCTTCTTTGCTGGGGGATGCTCAGCACTCCTGCAGGCTGGCTGAGGCCGTAGGAAGGCACGGCCAAACCAGCTTTGGCGGGGGACAGGGGGTAGCAGCAAGCCAGACTTTCCTCACCGCTCTCCCACTGCAGCCTCGGGTCAGAGGGAGCCACGCTGCTGCCGGAGCAGGGCTCAGGGCAGATTTTAGCAACGCACACAAACTTCCCCCCACCACTGCCTCCACCATATGAAATTACTGAATTTCCCTGGGGATTTTAAGGCAACAGATTTGCTGTAATCCTTAAGGCAAACCAGCAGTCCTGCTTTTAGAAAATCTTTTCATCTTACAGAAGATAGGGGTTTTTTTTGGTTTGGTTTGGTTTGGTTTGGTTTGGTTTGGTTTGGTTTGGTTTGGTTTGGTTTGGTTTGGTTTTCCTTCCCTGCCAGGGATTCACCAACCAATACAAACGCCACCCCAGTTCAACAAGCTCAGGATACCGGTTTCCACATTTGCCTAGCAGGTTTTAGGAGACCCTCCCTGCCGGCTGCCACCGCCTAGCAATCCAAACCCATGCTGCAGCCCCCGTCTCAGCCTGAACACCCCTTTGATAGGGAATCTGCACTGAGGCTTGAAGGGTGGTAACTAACACCTGTACCCAAAGCAAAAACTGGGAAGTGTTGGGATTTTTGTTTTTAACAAATTCAAGCAAAATCAGAATTACAGCAGCAAACCTGCTGGCAGGTGTCAATAAGGAGAGATTACTTTTCCTCTCTAAATAGCACATGCACTGTGGGGTTCAGCCTGGGGCTGCAGATCCAAAAGAGAGGCTGCCAGGGGTTACCCTTCCTGCGGATCTTTGCTATCCCAAGGGATGGGAATAGCCTTCTGCTCGGTGACCAGCCAATAGAGGGCAACATGCCCATGTACACATAGGCTTTGATCCCACAAACCCTGTTGTGGGTTTCGTCGAAGGACAACTCTATGCACACAGGTCGTTGTCTTGTGGGATGATTTGTGCCACATTAATATTGTGATTTTTTTTTTTTTTTGCGAGATTGAAGCCTGTTTGCAAACCCATGGTGGTGGTTTGGGGCTTTTCTTCATTTTTATCATATAGTTTCTTCATTTTTATCAATAGTTCCTGCACCCAGGCTCAGGCATCCAGCCATGGACCAGGATCTGCTGGGATAGATACACTGTGAACACTAAAGGAAGAGCCCCCAAGAGCAGGGCTCCTGCAGGTCCCTCAGCACCCGCTGTAGGAAGCCATACAGCTGACCCCATGTTTCCCACCGCGGATGGGAGGAGTGCAGATCCTGGCCCTGCTGGCACAGAATCTCATGGGACTTAATGGAAATATTGAAAAGAGGAGAAAATAAGGCCCCACAGCCCTTGCCTGGGCCTTGGCTAATTACACGCTGATGGATTGCCATTAGGGAAACCATTCTGAGGGACATGCCCTAACTACCTTTAGGTGTGTGTGTGTGGCAGTTAAGAGCTGGGGGTCTTTGAAAAAGAACTAAAGAGGAGGCTGAGGATTTAGTTTTCTCCTCCTTCCAACTGTTGGTGTGGTAACAGGAGAATTAAAGCCCTAAATCGTAGCCCTGGGATCTTGGTTGTTCAGGCTGACCTTTTGCTACCTGCCTCATAAGAGCTCTTCTTGGGTGATCCCAGGGAAACGGAGAGTAGTGTAAGGGAGAGCTGTGAGCTGAATTCAGGCCAAGAGGGAATCTGTGGCACCCCAGCTTCCCTTATGCCACGCAATCCCTGACATTTCGTTAATGAGAAGTATCAGAGATGGCGTGCAGGCAGGAGAGCTTCAGCTGTGCAGGGTGACTGCCCTGATGCTGCCAGTATGCAGCGCTGCAAAGCACTTGGTCTTTGGCTGCCTGAAAACTACAGCAGAATTTAAGCGG